ATGGATGAAATGGCCAGGGTTAGCATTTACCATAAGAGGAGAGCTGAGGGTAGTCTCCTGGGGAATACCATGTATAGAGCTCGTGGAAGACAAAAGGACCAACCAGAGGACCAAAAGGGGAACTGGAAGAGTTTGATGCCACAGAAGCCATAGCAATTTCACAAAGTAGGGAATAATCAACAGTTAAATGCTACAGAGAGTTCTAGTAAAATGGGGACTAAAATGTGTTCGCCAGATTTGGCAACATGGCATTTCATTGATGAGACAGAGCAGGAAGCACATGGCTATGGACTGAGGACTCCATGAGTGCAAGAATGTGTACTCCCTCACAGCCCTGAATGTCAGCTCCATTGACTGAGCTGTCAGACCACCAGAGCAGGGCCAGGGACAGGTAGCCATCCCGGTCCCATCAATGACAAGAGAAAGCAGGGTGAACTCAACTCAGTGAAATTCCATGACTTAGAGAAACTACCAATAAGGGACGTCTGTCTGCCCCAGGTGGCAGTATCACCTCCATGGAAGATCAGTCCATTGCTGTAAGACTAAGAGAGAAGTTTATGCAGAGAAATATCAGATTTCCTAAGAACTGAGGATTTATCCAAATTTCCCTCTCTCAGATCATTTTTCTGGTAAAGTTGATATGAAAGTAAAGGATCTGGCCCCCTTGCTGCAAATGCAACATTTATTGAGATGTCACAATATGCCAACCACATTTTCCAGTGTGTTTACCTATATTGTCCCATTTAATCTTGCAACAACATGTGAGACAGATACACCCATTCGCATATGAGGAAACAGGTTGGCTTGCCCAAGATCACATAGCTATGTAAGTGGTGAAGCTGGAATTCATACCTCCAGGTACTTTGATTCTAACTTCAGTGGTCTCTCCACTACTACATGGTATAATTAGAAGGAATTATTCGAAGAAGATTCTTAGCTCCCTCCTTGTATGAAGAGTGAAGAACTTCTGGGACTCAGGGCTTAGGCAGAGGAGATATTCTATTATGTCCACCTTTCCAGCTGGCAAGAGCTAAGATGTGAAGGACCAAAGACCAGTTCATGTCCTCCCCTTCTCAGAGGACTCATCTAATAAATAATAAAACCTCCTGCCTGGACAGTCTGGGATGCTTATCTCCAGAGCACTGTCCTCCATGTTCTCTGGGTGGGCCTATTTTAAGATAAGTATGGAGCTTGCTCCCTGCTGGCACAAGATTTCCAAGGAACAGGAAGCCTAGGCCAGTGCAGAGGAGGTAGGGAATGAGTGGCATGTGCCTCTCAGGGCCACCCACCCACATTGATGAGACATGGGGGTGTCCTGGGGTGACAGCTTTTATGGAATGGGAGAGCCTCCCAGAAACCATCCACATGGGACAAGGGTGGGAGAGGTGGCCTCCTCCCACTCATGATGCACTTATCACAGGTTCTGGAAACTGCATGGTCTGAGCCTCTGGTCATGTGACTCTCTGAGGGATGTGCCCAGCCTTCTCTGCCCCTCCTACCCTGCCCCTCCAACATTAGAGGACCAGTGGAGAATAGAAAGATCCACAGACCTAGGTGGCAGACCCTATGAGGTCATAGCTAGGAGGATTCTCTGATTTTAAAAAGCAGCTTTTAAAATCAGATAGCCTGAATTCAAAGTCCAGCTCTACCATTTAGTAGTTGTATAGTTTTAGGAAGCTTATTTCACTTCCCTTGGCCTTTGTTTCTTAATTCATAATATAGGGATAATAACAATGTCTACTTCATGCTTACAGGAGATAATACGCATCAGGTGTTTAGCACAGGATCTGGCACATAGCAAACATTCAGTAAATGCTGGCTATTATTATCATTGTCCCATCATTATCATTACAGGGAGCTATCCTTGTACATCTCCCAATGTCTTTCTTCCTAATTTCATGAGGACATTGACTAAACAATTATGGAAAACAGTAGCCTTGGTAATCTAACCAAATCCGAGGCGGCTGGATGAGCAGCTAGACTGTAACTGGCTCCTTCTCCAAAGAGCCATCATCTGCCCCACTCTGAACACACTCACTTGGGCATCCACTCCCTCCCCAGGGAAACTCAGCAGTCAACAAATTGACAAAGCCAGAGAGTTTGACTGGTTCCTGGAGGTGTCTTTGATTTGCCTGCTAGCCCAAATGAGGATTCATCTCCCTGAGTGAATCCTCAAAGGGGCCATGAGCAACACCTTCCCCGACCAATATATATATACACACATGTCCCCGGAGATTCTGGACCAATTTGGAAAGTCCCATAACCCAACTTCCATGATTTTTGTAGCCTCTATAGATGTCCTGGGCCTAAAGAATATTTTTCTCTTCCTATCCAGAAACAGTTCTTCTCTACCTTACCTCTTCTCCAGCACACCAACCTCTGCACCCCAGCAAATCAATCTATGCCCCCAGAAAGTCGGAGAGAGGAGGGAAAGGGTCTCGTATCTAAGGAGAAAGGAACAGAGGTGGCCTAAGCCCTGACTCTCCACCCCAAGGCCTACTTTCTGGGATGACCGGCTTCTGCCGTTAGGCAGAGATAGCTAGTTGTCCTCTAAAATGAGTGCTTGCTCTTGCATGGAGCTGGCTAAGGACTGCATTTTCCAGTCCCCCTTCATCTAGGTGGTGCCATATGACATGTTGACATCCACAAAATGTGAGTGAAAATGACGCATATCACTTCTGGGCCAGAGCATTTAAGAGTGCATGTACTTTCTTCGTATTTTCTTTTTCCTTTCCACTGGTTTGACACGGATGACAGTCACCAGGTGGAAAGAATCTGAGTCCCTGACAATCATGTAGAAGAGAGTCTCTAATCAGACACCCTCACTGGAAGAGTAGGTGGGTGAGAAACAAACTTTGATTGGGTTAAACCACTGAGATTGTGGGAAATTATGGGATCCATAATATACCATCATTGTGCTATACCTACTGCTAATATAGTAAGCCTGGCATCTGCCCCCACCCCTATACTATCTTTTCCAGATGGAGCAAGAAAAAAATTGGAAGAAAGACTTCCCCTGATATTGATATGAGAAACTAAAGCAAAAAATCTTGAGGTGCCCAAAGGCCAGCCTGGAGAATTCTGTGCTGGTGACTAAAGGCATGAATGTGTGTGTTGGGGTCATTAGAGGTGCTGGGCACTCAACAGTGGGATCATAATGGTTGAGGTCAATATATTATATGCAGGGAAAGTAAGTGCATAGAAGGAATAGACCTTTCAGAAGAAGCTAATGGGAAGGAGCCATCCAATTCTCCTGGAAATAGTTGAGTAAACACTGGGGCTTCTTTGTAAACATGTCTCTTGCTGAGCTGGCAGAAAGAGATACAGAAAGAGAAAGGAGAGGAAAAGGAAAAAGGAAAAAGGACAGACAATGGAGTGTCCTTTCCTCATCTCTATCTGCTTTGCGAAGGTTCACCTACTCTTTAAAACTCATTTCAAACATTACCTCCTCTGTGAGAGCCTTCCCTGACCTCTCTAGGTGGCTTCTTCATCCATGTTCTAAGCACAGTGCTCAAACTCGATCGTAGTTGCCATCAAACTGGTCACAACTATGAGTTCTTGAGGACATCATCTTGGTCTTTGTCATCAGTGGGCCTGACATAGACTACATATTGATATGGTTGGTGAATAAATACATAAATGAATGTATGATTAAGTGAGCAAAACTCAAAGCAGAGGAACCAAAACTCAGAATCCAAACTGAGGATGTCTGGGTACCTGGGTGGACAATTTTAATTTTCTAGCTAAGGTACCAGTAGAACATCCAATGACAAATTTTTCAGGTCACAGAACCATTGCTGGGGGCTGCTGTGCAAGTGCCTTCTCCCTCACACCTCCATCCTTGATAACATGTAACCAGCCCCTCAGATTCTGCCCAGCCACATCATACTACTCCAGCCTATTCTTTAAGGGCAGTCTTTCTCCTGAGTGGCTGCCTGCCTGGACTGGGCTAGGTTGATCTGCTTGGACCCTGCCCCTGGTAGTCGAAGCACAACCAGACAGGCCCAAGCAAGGTGAGGACAATGGGACTGGGGAAGGAACAGGTGTCCCAGAGAAAAGACTGGGAAAGGTCCAGGCCTTTAGCTAGAGTGAAGGCCAGGCACACCGATGGCTTGCAGGGACAGGGCTACTGGGATCCTTCAGAAAGGCTGTTCGGAGGGCCTGGGCACAGTGTCAGCTTTCTCTCTATGGAAGTTTTCCTATTGGTGCTATGTTTCTGGAAAAACTGAGAAATTGAAGGGTAGAGAAACCTGAGAAGAAACTCCAAAGTCCTAGAACAGTGCTGGGAATGAGAAATGACTGTCTACCTGGGTTTTCCCAGCCCCGGTGGGGGGCCCAAGAAGAAGCAGTATCCATTTCTTCATGCCCTGGTGATAGCACTCGAATACAGCAACAGCTGTTGCTCCCTTTGTCTTTGATTTGCCTGCTAGTCCACATGAAGATTCACTTCCCTGAGCATCTCAAAGGGGCCAATTCATTTGGTCCTTTGAGGCCAGGAACTTACCACTGGATGCCAGAGTGGTACAGTTCCCACGAGCCCCTCAGAGTTCTTGGGGTGACTGATGCTAGCTCCTCACCTCCAGAAAATTTTAAAGAATCTTTAAAAATACATCTACTTCTATTTCTTTAATATAAAAATAAAATGAAATGAAATCCACCCCCCAGAAGCCTGTGACCAAACAAGAGCAGTGAGCCCTGTTCACAGTTGTCAGCGTGGACGGCCACAGGGCAGCCACCTCTCCACGTCCATGGCACCAGCAAGAGGTCTGAGAGAATAGGATGCTTGTGATGCCAACAGGAACATCCTCCTGCTGGGGACAGCCTAGGTACTCCAACAAAACCTGTTACCATCCCTGGACAGCAAGTGGTGTCACAGACAGTGGAGGTGGCGGTAACAAAGGTATCTGGTGGCTTTTAGCTCAGATGATGTTGCAAATGGCCCAGTCCCTTTGGCCACTCTTTGCAGCAGTCAGTGCTGTGAGGCGGAGCAGGACAGCTGCTTAAGATTTCCGGAAGCGCACCTCATTCTGAGGAAGAAACGGGAGAACAGGGTGAGGGTGGGCCGGGTGGGCCCAGAATACAGATGCAAAGGTGGGGTTCAGAGGCTAAAATTCAACCCTCCTGTCACCTGGCACCGCCCCTCAGAGAGGAGAGTGATACTGGGGCTAGCACCCAGCCTAAGCCCACCCCTTTTCAACCCTTTGAGCTCTGTTCTGCAGAAGGAAGAGGAAGGATATAAACACAGGAAGCTGGAAGCCTGATGCTCGACTCCTGTCCTGTCCCAATCTTTTGCACTTTGCGAATACCTCTGAACACAAGAATGTGAGGGAACCTTTGCCAAGACCTCGGGGAAAGCCTGGGTCCTCTTCTAGGCACCTCACTTTCGGGGTTCCCTACTTGCTCAGTCAGTGTCCCATATAGGCTCTCACCTCCATCTTGCTGTATATCCAGGGCAGGAGTTCTGTCACTTTGGTGTACACGCCGGGTTTGTTTCTCTGGCCACAGCCTGTGCCCCAGCTGGTGACTCCTGCCAGGTACCAGCGCTTGTTCTGCTCGCAGACCAGGGGCCCCCCACTGTCTCCCTATAGGAGAAAACATGCACATCAGCAGGGTGGGAGAGGTGGTCCTCGAGCAGGAAATGGTGGGCACACGATTCCCACTCCAGCCCCAACACCTCGGCTCTCCCTCACTCCCCAGTGTTCCAGAGCCTGAGCCCCACTCAGAAGCAGCCCCACCTGGCAGGAGTCTCTGCCTCCCTGAAGGTCTCCAGCACACATCATCCTTGGGGTAAGGTAACTGTCATAGACCAAGTAGCCATTGCACTTCCTGAAGTCGATGAGGTTGACCTGCACCTCCCGGAGGAAGGGGGATGTCTTCTCTTCAATGAAGTGGGAGAGGAGAGAGAGGATGGGAAGGGATTAAGACTCCGAATAACTTTGTGGCCTTCTAGCTGTCCGCCCAGACTCAGCATTCCCATGGTTGGCCACCCAGGACATATGGGCACACACACCCTTGCACCAGACACAACTCACTACATATAATAAAGACATATGTGTACATGGACAAACTCAGCCTATCAGGCTACCTTGCATATTGCACAATGCTTTTCTGTATTCCAAGAATCATCCAATATATATCACTTAATTTGTTTTTAGTAACTAGGTGTCCTAAAGAGGTGGAATTCATCCATTTACAGATGAAGTTCAGGGCTGCAGAAGTGACTTGCTCACAGTCACACAGCTAGTCAGTTATGGAGCCAAGAACAGAAAAAGCTGCTCCCTGGCCAGTCACCACTTCATCGCACTGACCAGAGGAACATGGCCTGAGTCTCACAGCCGGTCAGCTAGGCTGTGGCACTCTCCTGCCACATACAAACAATCTTTTAGAACCAATATCAGACAAGACCACTCTGTGACCGTGATGAACTGAGGCAAAACAAAACCAGTTTATAATCCAGTTAAGCATAGATGAAAACAAGGTAGGTCACTGTGCAAATCCCAATATCAAAAACCCCCTCCCAGCCAATAGGAACAGCTGCTGTTTCTTTATCGCATACAGCTTTAGACCTAGTCTATTCAAAACTTCTAGATCAGATTATTTAGAGACCCAATCATGGAATTTTCCTGCTTCCTGAAAGCATCCAATCTAAAGACAGGCTCCACTTTGAACCTTCCAAACCATCTACATCCTATGCAGGTTTCTCTCTAACAACCCTTTTCAAAATGTGCCATAGTTCTCCATGGTGTGTGTTCCCCCTCAGCACAATGAGCAATGAACCCAACTTGCTCAACTATAGAGGTTTTCCTGGTGGTCTTGGCAGGAAGGCATTGTCACAGTGACTGCTTTGACATATACGCAAGTGTGTATATACACACATTCACACCCAAGCCCTCATCTAGATAGGCCCCCACCTATCTGCCCAGACATATCACCCCTGCACACTCACACAAACACACAAGAATACAGGCACATGCATGTGTGTACACACAGTTGAACATCTCTTCCTCTCACCATCTGTCTCCCTGGTCTTGCCAAAGCCTGTGATCCAGCAGGTCTCATTGAGGTTGAAGGTCTGTCCATGCATAGGAAGGCAGGCAGGGTGGATATGAGCTGCAACAAGACCTCAAGACATCAGTGAAGGGACAAGATTAAAGATTTTGGTGGCGGTGGTGGAGGGGTAGGAGCACAAGTGTCCTAGGAGAACGTCTTTGCTCCAGAGTAGTTCTGAATAATTTCCCAGGGCCTCGGACTGACCAAACTCTTTATCTTGACCCTTCAGCCTTCAAGGGACTGTCAGAGTTCCCCCAAATATTCTGATTTCAGTGGGTGCCGTGTGGAAGGATGTACAGGGTGGAAGCTCCCTGTACCAATTGTTACTGTGTGACTGAGGGTCTCTTCCCACTGAGAGTGACTATCTTGGCAAAGCCTATGCCCTGCCTATCTGTCAGCACAAGGAGCAGCATCAGGCTAAGTCCCAGGTATTACGGTATCTCAGTGGAGTGTCCAGCCTGGTGTGGGGAGGGCACCTGCTGGTTGGCCAAGGCCTGAGGCTCTCCCTCCAGGGTGAGACAACCTCTTCCAGCAGGAAAAGCACACCCTTAGAGGCACAGACCACAAAACTGCTGCTCACTTGCTCCCACATTCAGAAGCAATTAGAAGGTGCTGTTGTATATCACATCATAAGTTTCCCTGAGGGCTGACATCCCTAGATGACCCTGGACTGGGGCATCTATCACCAAAGTCTGATTTACAGTAAGAAAATATTAATTGATAGAATATTTGCAGTGTTCTCAATTCTTTGTTTTCTTCACTGTAGCTTCCTACACTTAGAATAGTACCTGATACATAGAAAGTATTCAGCAAACATTGAAAGAAAGGAGAAAGGAGGAAGGAGGGAGAACGAATGGTAAATTCTCCTATAAATTGGGCTTTAATTGCTGGTATCTAACACACTTGTCTGCTAGCAAGTAAATAAACAAAAAATAAACGAAGGGATAGCATCAATTATTAACAAAAATTGGAAAACATGATTTCTTAAAATATTCTATGCTCATTTTTGAGACATAGTCTTGAAAATAATGTAACTGTTATATATCCCACTCACTTTTATGGGTGAATTAAATTTATCAGTGAGTTTTCACAAGTTTTGTCAGATAGTACTGTGACTCTCAAGTGCTCAACCTGCCATATTAGTGTAAGAAAATCTGCCCTAATTTCTAAACCAAAAATCAAGACACATGGTCTGAGCACAGGACTACATAAATCTGAGCTTTGATTCTTAGACTAGAGGTCTGCTTCCTGCCTGAGGGCCTGTCAGAATCTAGAGAGGGACTGCCATAGTTTGAAGAGCATATGCAATATCATAATAGCTTTCATGTGGCTTTTTCATTTGGTTATTAAAACTATTTAATTTGATTTGGAAACCCAAATAATATTAAAGAGGTAGGGATGGTAGGAGGTGACATCAGGATAGTTAGCCAAACGGAGTCTGGGTTTTACAAGGTTGGGAAGGCCTGTTCTGGTCCTGCAGACTGACTGCCCCCTTTCATGTGTGTGTAAGGGGCAAGGCAGGACCACCAGGGCATCCCTTACCTTATACTCTGAGACTCCACAGACAAGGCTGGAGGGAGCAGGAGGAGGACAGAGATCTTGCCCATTGGTAGGCGTGGTCCTGGGACAGCCCTGCCCAACCAAGCTCTGCCAAGGTTTCCTCCCCCTCACACCACTCTGAGAGCTAACTACTGACTCACTGACACCACCTCCATAATTAATGTGCCAGGAAAGACCAGCTCATAGGTTCAGAGCACAAGAAAGGCTGGACTAACCAGAGAGCCTTCTAAGGCTTCCAGAAATCCCAGTATACCTTAGCCGAGCTTCCCCAGAGGAGCCTCCCAGCCTGCCAAGACTGATTACATGTCCCCATCTGTGCCTCCTATAGATTGGGCTTTAAGCACTGGTATCACTGCTCCCTTCAACATCATATCATTGGCCTCTATTTGCTGTCTTTGTGTGTGTCACCCATTATATTCTATTTGCAATGCAACTACAGAGCCCACTAAAAAGTGAACACTTAGTATTTGATAAGTTAACAAATAAGTGAATAAATTAATGAATAAAGACTTCTTTGGTCTTCTCCTGAGCATATTTCCTTCGTGTAGCTTCATCTGGTCCTCCAACCTCATGGCAATTGGTGTTTTAATGTGTACACATTTTGTGTTTGCAATTGCAGTGTTAGTAACTTGCCAGCTGAGAGCTGAGTGGGAAGAGCATTGTTTGGGAGTTAGACCAACCTGGATCCAGTCCTGCACCTGCCATTTATTACTCTGTGGCCTCTGGTAATTATCTCTCTCTAAAGTTCCATTTCCTTATATATAAACTGAAGCTAATAATAGTACCTGCTCCACAGGATTGGTTGTAAAGAGTAAATGAAATCAGATGTGATATGCCTACTGCAGTGTCTGGCCCCTGTTAAGTGCTCAGTAAATACCAGTAAAACAATTTGATCTACTTATATTGATGATATTGTATCCAAGCCCTGGCTCTGTCACCAATTTGCAATGTAAGATGTGTCTTTTGGGACCTCAGGGCCTCAGTTTTCCCAATTGTAAAATAGAGATGTTCCATTAAGTGAACTCTGAGTCTGACTTCTACCATGCTGAAGCTCTAGGGCCCCCATAGACACTGCCAAGTGCAAGGGCTGGGCCCTAAGGGCTGCTGGGATAAGCCAGATTGGGGTCTGACAGGCATTGATTCACTCACCAGACAGAGTCAGGGGCTTGGAGAGCCTTATGAGGGCAATGTCATAGTCATCTTGCTCATCAGTGTAATTGCCATTGATGATGATCTGGGAAATAGAGGCTGCCTCAGGCAGCTGGTTCAGGTTGTTAGTACCTGCATACACCTTCCAGCCCTCCAGGATCTTCTCCCGGGTCCTACAAGAGACACAGGAGAGCATGGTCCGGTTACCCACTTGGCAGAGCCCCCTGGAAGCATCTACTGCTAAACACAGGAAGCTGCACCTCAAGTACCAGCTTGGAGGCAGGAAGATGGATGAAATGACTTCCTGAGGTAGCCCTCTATCTTAGCCCTGAAGTACAAAAAGCCATTCTTAACTGATCACTCAGCACCTTACAACAGAAAAGGAGAAGAAATGAATAGGACCTCTGTGAGCAGTCACCCCCACTGTCTCCTCTGCACACCACCAAGGATCAAATAAGGTGAGTGGACACATTTCAATAGTATCATACTCAGCAAAAACAGAGCTTTAGACAGGATGAAGCGACCCGCTAAAGACTCATTACTGGGTAAGCCTGCTCTCCAAAGTCTTTCCTCCCCACCAGCTCAAAGGGACAAACCTGGCTAGTGACTGTCAGAAGTTGGCTGAATTGAAGCACCCCCGTCCCCTGCAATCCTCATCCCTCAGTTCCTGAGACAGTGGTCCTGATTTCTCAGGCTCCTCTCCTGTAAGTTCCAGTTACAGGAAGCGGCAACAAACTTAAAGCCTCTTTATTTCAGCCTGTTCTTTAGGGACAGTCTGCCAAGTCCTTCTTCCTGCCTGCCTCAGTCATCACAGGGGCCATCAAACAAAGGCATTCTCTCATTCTCATTCTCATTCTGGGCCTAGTTCAGAACAAATACCCATAACTCACATTCCCAAGGCCAAATACCGACTGCAAATGGTGGCCTTAGACACACTAGTGCCTTCTGGCTAGCACCAAGCTCACTTCCAAAGAGAGATAAGTCAGCCTGCCATCAGCCCTTGAACCCCAGCAGCATTGCATCAGGCACTTACACAAAGAAGCAATGGGCAGCAGTGAGCACCCACTGGGCGTCGATCAGCGTGCCCCCACAAATGTGGGTGGTGCCGTAGTGCAGACTGACTTGCCAAGGCCACTTGCTCTCTGGGGCCAGTGCCCCTCCCACGATCCGCCCCGTCATGGCCCTCAGGCCACAGTCTGGAGAAAAGCAGAAGAGACAAACTGTGAACTCTGCTCCTCTTAGAGCCCTGCCATGCTCCCTGGGCCCAGGGCAGGTCCAGGCAGCCCGGTCCTGAGGGCATCCACCCACCGCTTTGCTCACCTAATCTGATACTGCATAACTGTTTTCTGCCAAAGCAGAGCTCCCACATGGTGGCTAGCTTTCTGGTATCATCCAGTGGGAAGTTTGACCCTAGGCAGGTTCCTCTTTCTTCCCGTTCATTCATTCGACAAATGTTTACTAAATGCCCAGTGCACTGGGCATGGTATTAGGGTTACAGTGGAAAATCTCAGGACTGATGTTAGGAGTTCAGGAAAACAGATCAGGTCTACCATGACCCTGAGTTGATAGGGACAATAAGGAGAATCTGTATCATCTCAAAACAAAAGAGAAATAAACTTCTCACAATGCACAGGTGGGTTTGTGCCCACATGGTTCCCCAATGGGTCATTTAGTGCTGTTGAGGACACTTCGTCCCAAAGGAACACTTCTAAGCCTGTTCTGGGGTGAGTCATCTCCCCAGAATCATGGAGGAGGGCAGCTCTTGTAGTTTGTTCATACATGCATCTTTTCTCTTTGAAGGAGGAGAGACTGAGGAAGTAGAGGCGGTCTGAGGGTGTGGGCACTTCATCTATAGCACCGGGTGCCTGGCCTATTCAGAGAGGCACCCTGACCTGGTCATTACTGCGAGCACAGCACTCATGGAACGATTAATGGCCTCGGCTTTGGGGGTCAGACTTGAGGTCAAATACAAGCTCCTCACCTACCAGGACATTCACAATGGAGTCCTGGAGGCTGGTTTCCAGAAAGATCAGAGAGAGAATCCCTGGCTCAAAACCCCCTATACTCCCTCACTCACCTGCTTACGGACTTACTTAAAGCAAAGTAAACATTTCAGTCTGTTTTCAATAAGTGCATAAAATGGCACCAGCCGATGAGAATTAAATGCTATCATGTTTGTGAAGAGATAGACACAGTGCTTTGCACATATAATGTGTTCAGTAAAGATTGACTCTATGTCTAGATCTCAATCTAGCTCTTTATCTATTGGTATATAAGCTTTAAGCCAGCCCAGTCCTTCTCTCCTGGTCTTTTGCTCCCTGCCCAGAATCCAGGAAACTTGAACAGCTTCCTTGTATGGGGTGCTGGACTGAGCAGCCAAGAGAAAGGGAGATGCCATGTTAGAACTACTCCAGTGCCTTACAGGAATCCTGGCCCTGAAGCAGGCCTGACGGCTAAGCCTCTCTTTCTGGTGGACCCCCTAGTGCCGGCCATCTCCCCCAGAGAGATCCCATCCGTCTGCTCTGCCCGCTGACTCCCACCCCACACAGTCCACAATCCAGGAGGAAGAGCATCTTCTTACGGGAACATTGGAGAGAGATATACCGCTGGGAAGGGCATTCTGACCTGCAGGAAGAAAGACAGAAAATGGGGGAAAAGGGTACATTGGCCACCTCTTCTAGGTAGCTTTCCCTGATTGAATCCTGCTCAGTTCCTATCCCATTTCTTTTGCACAAGGAAAATGGAGATTCTGACCTCCCTCCTGGTGGGGGCAAGCCCTTCCAGTTCTTTCTCCAGAAATAGAGATGGCTTAGTGCAAATCATCCCCACACTTCTCTTCACCCTCCCTGCCACTTTCTAGTGGCAAATTGCGTACATTGTCCAGATCCACATCCTTTGAAGTCATGACTGCATTGTTCTGGCATCTTTCCATTAAACAGGTAGCCTAACGCTCCTCTGACAGAATTCCTCAATGCTAGCTAGCCACACTGCAGGCAAAGCACCTAGCACAAAGCAGGCATCCAGGATACGGCTAATTCACTTTCCTTCCTTCCCCCACCCCTTCTCTCAGAGCCTTGTTTCTTCTCTCCTCTCCCAAGGTAAATACGGCTAGCTGGTGGAGCGCCCCCTATCAGCTTCCCCCTCAGTGGGACAGACAAGGACAGGGCTGCAATACAAAGATGACAAGTGATGGGGAAGCAAAGGAGAAGGCTGGTGCCTCCCAAATGGGCCTCCTGCCCCCAAACACAGGCACCCAGCACTCCTCTGCTGCTGTAGCTTCTCCCCACCCTAAGCCCACTCCCTGCAGTAGTGTTCAAACGCCCGACCGACCGGTGGCCCTAAAGTTTATTATTGTCTCTGGCAACCAGGTAAACTCTTAGGGACACCTGTGACCTCTAAGTGCTTTCTGTATCAAGCCCCAGAAAGAAGTCAGGAGGCAGATGGTGAATGAGTTCTGTTTGTGAGATGCTCCTGACCTTCACAATGGAGTCCTGGAGGCTGGTTCCCCAAAAGGCCAAAGGAGAGGGGCTCCCCAGTTCAAAGCCCCCTGTACCCTCTCATTCCCTTGCTTACAGTCAGCCCAGCCATACCTGTAGAGGCTTTTCTGGATGGTGGAGTTGTATTCAGAGATTGAGAAACTGCTGGCAAAATCCCTATGGGCCACCTCAGTTGTTCGATAAGCACTGCAAGAGAAGAGAGGGGAAGAAAAATGATCTTGCTTGAGAAATAGCCCATCCCCAGACCCCTAGCTGGCATCAGAGTCCCAGCCAGCCCTGCTGACAGAGGCTAGCAGCTGACAAGGCCCAACATGGTCTGACCTCATCCACATATCACCCCCCTCTGCTCCCCACTAGCCCTGTATTTCTCAAAGTATGGTCCCTACCCAGACAAATGCAAATTCTTGGGCCCTACCCAAGACCTCCTACTGTATCAGGAACTCTGGTTCTGTGTTTTAACAGATTCTCCAGGTGATGCACTGCTTGAGTTTGAGAAACACTGATCTAGCCCTTTTCAATCCAAACTGTGATTCATGGACCACCAGCAGCAGGATCACCTGGACCTCCTGAGCCAGACTCTGCATCTTAAAGATTCTCGTTAACATGAGGTTTGCACTTTAAAATTTGAGGACCTTTCATTCACTTACTGGATTTCAGTAATGTGCCCAAGAATCACCTCGAGTGTTTGCTAAGCAGGTTCTAAATCCTAATCCCAGAGATTCTGATTCTGGGTGTATTTTAACAAGTACCCCAGATCATTGTGATGTGGGTGATCCATGGATCACTATCCCCGCTGTCCGTGTGGCACTTGTGTGCCTTTCTAGAACCCGGTACATCCTTGCATGAGAGCATGCCCTTATGTGTGCTGTTCCTCCCTCTTGGGTTCCTTCAGCCTCTGCTCCTCTAAGCACAGTTAGGCACCCTCACTGTTGTGCGCCCGTAGAGCTTCACACACATCCTGTCATTACATATCACATTGTGCCATAATTATTGGTTTAAGCCTCTCTCGCCCACACCATACTAGAGGTTCTCCAGTGGCAGGGATCTTATCTTGCTCCTTTGTGTCTTGGTGCCACATATTAAAAGGTCAATGAATATTCTTTGAATAAATGACACTATGTATTGAAACTCAAGGGAGATTCAGACTTGCATAAGGGCACATAACTCAATGA